AGATGTAAAGACAGCGGCCACCTGGCATCGCTTTCCGCACATCAGTGTTTACCATCACATTTCTTCCGGTCGTGAAGTACCCGCAAAACGCTGAACAGCACATCTAAGTACTTTCAGTTACTTCTCAGGATGTACACAGCGCAGTCGCACCGCCAGCTGTTTGCAACAACTGAGAAAACTTTCAAAGCAAATCCAGGCTCCGAAAAATTGACAAGAGCTTATTACTCTCAAAATGGCGTTTTTGTAAATCTAAGAAAACCATACTGTTTGATCACTCATCCTGTACCTTACCTCAGACATCAGAATCCACCTGAGCTATCGTGTTGTTAAAACTGCTGGCCTTTCATGATGAGGGAAATTACAGCAACAATTTCGTACCATTGTTTGGAAGCAGGAATGTAGCTGAACGAGGAACGACGGCTTTTCGGGAACGGCCAGCACTCGTTTTTCAATCATCGCGCATTCCACGTCATCGTCTTGTATTATGACATCTTTCTTGAGAATTTTTACTGCGAATGCCTCTTTCGACAACTTGTGCTCAGCAAGCAATACCTGCAAACGAAGGCGAACGAAGATAAAACTTAATGAGAGTAATGCGAGGTTGCTTCCGGTCATTTACTTTTCCGAAGCTGCCCTTGCCAAGTACAGCGAGAAACTCGAAATCCGTCAGTCGAATCACGTCTGTCTGATGAATCGCTCTGAAATCCCGCGAAATCTTCCTTTGCTCTGTTCTGTTACGTTGCATTTCCTGAAATGTCATGCAGGCAAGTGATAGAACAACAGCAGTATGACAGACTGATGTGGTAGATATCGTCAGTTAAACCGTTAATCACCTCTGAACGTTTGGAAAATCTCTACGCATGTATATAAATATTATATACAGGCTTCAGTCTTCTTGCCAATTCTCCGGATTTACAAGGCAAGGCATATTCGCCCCTCCCTATAATTTCCAGCGGGCTAGAGGAAGAAGAAGATTATTCCTCCATAGAATCTGAGCACCTGCAGGGCACGGATGGGAAACAGCATCACTCAAAGACCAGCTGATGCATCTCGATCCATTGGCAAATAATTACATAAGTTACATTTCTACGTTTAGTACATCTAATACACCCAGGCGTTTGCACGCTACAGCAGGAAACGTGAATCAAGAAGGTAGGGACAGAATAGCTTCAATCCAATCATCCAACACGACATCTACTACCATGCAGAATATGCTAAATTATGAATATATTGAAGCGAATATAGTCACAAAGCATACGATATGGTTCACATGTTGTGTTCAGTAACTAGTAGTTCGACGTTATGCTTCCATTATTATACTTCAGTCTGAGATTAATAAGGAAGAGAGACCCTAACATCCGTATTCTAATAATGGCAACAGTCAAGGGTTCAATAACACCGTCATTAGTATACGGATTATGCTAACTGCGTACTATCTGAAGTAAAACCGACACTTACGCTAAACTTTTTCCTCAGCAATTCGACTTCTTTATCTTGAATAACAGGGAGGTTGTAAAATTCGCCTTCCTCTTGATTTAATAGTTTAAACCAGCCATCGACTGGTTCCTAAACAAATACGGTTCTGAACGATAGAACTGGCCAGTTCTGCCAACAAACAACTTTACCTTTACAATCTCAGAGATCCCAAATGAGAGAGAGCCGATGAAGTCGTTTCTGGACGTTCGATCCCAATCCCAGACTTCGACGGACAGTCGGCGATCCTTGTCGCCTGCTTCGAGTTTACTAAATAAGATAAAATTAATGTACAGAACTCGCGCTTGACACACTGTAAAACTTGATCAGAGAGTCAGTCACAGCTGAATCAGCATTATAAATGCTAATAACAGAGTTGATAACAAATGTTCTTACTAAATAAATGTTTCGTTCCAAACAGGGAATAACGTGGCGCGAAGGGTCTTCGTTTTCTGCTTTGTGGAACGGCCTTCTGGCTCAGGAATCAATTTTAGCTTCACGTACGGATCTGCCAATCCGTTTGGATCCATCGGAACTAGATTCTTGGCCTCAGCAACTAAAAGAACAACAACAGGGTTAAAAATATGTTCATGAATGCATAGCAGAATAAGAAGACAATTGGACGTGATCCACCTACTGACTTGTCGCTGTACTTTTCAAAACTTTAAAGGCTATATTGTTTTCAAAATGGGCTTTTTGACATATTGTACAATCAAATATGCTTTTGTGCTTACCCTACAGCGAGTACGAGTAGAAAGAATCGTAGAATGCTTAATAGTGAATGGAACCTCTCCGTGTTCAGTAATTAATCACATCTATGCATTTCTGTTAGTATTAGCATTTTCTAAATTTTCTAGCATGTAGCTCACTGGAGCTAAATTTGGGTCAACATTTCGTCAAGGGAAAGGCAGCAGAGCATCACAAAAAGGTGACAAACATCAAAATCAATGCTACTCACCGTTCACGGTCAGCAGCGCGTTGTCGCAGAACACCTTTAAACGGATCCGACCTCGTCTTTCTGTCTGGTCTGTGCCGCAGAAATTGGGCACATAGTCCTTGCAGCGGTGATGGACGTTTATATCGCAAGCTAAAGTTTGAACGGGCGGTTAGCACGAGAAACAACTACGCAAACTGAAAAACAAACATCAAATATGAACGTTAAACTGTAAACAAACCCCAGAAGACCGCGTACATTGACACTTGTCCCCTTGCCGAATTAGACCGTACAGAATGGAGCCACAGTGATCACAGAATGTAGGCGAGTTGTACGTGTGCACTTTCCATTTATGCCTTGCGCGAGGGTCCTAAAACATATGGTTCATGTGCTGCACAAATACACAAATGAATGGATTATCTGCAAACATATTATCTGTTACTGCAAAAGCAAATCAACACGTACACTATCATATAGTGCAAATAAATTGTGCACGTACTGCACTATTCTACACAGCTTCTGTACACTTGGACATACTTGTACACGCAAATATATATATGATAATAAGATTAGACAGAGTTTTGGGGCAAAATCTTGCATAAGTCCTCATCTAGCAATGGATCAAAATACGCTGATGATAATCACAATCATATCACAATCATTGTGTCGTATAGTATGTAAAGCATATCATATTCGTTTATACAGTGCTAGTAGCATCATATGTGTACATAAGCTGATTCAGTGCAATACATATACTATGTGTATATAAATGTCACATGGGTCATCTGAAATGGTAATATACAATACAGTCGAGGAATAAGTGAATTCACGCTCTTACATCAGAATCGACGCCCTTATCAGCCCCGGGGCAGGAAAAGCCGACAAATTCATGACATCGTTTGTGGACGACTAAGGCGCAAACTAAAAATAACAAAATATTTTAAGTACCGTTGTAGAATGAAAAAGCGTCAAATACCTTGGCACTGGAAGCCTTGTTTGTTGAGCCCCCTAAAAACACCCAGTTAACATTAGGTCAGATTTGCATTTAAAAAAATGCCGGGATCGTTCGCAAAAAGTTCAAGTAACAAGAAAAAGATTTGATTCACACCTGGTAAATCTTAGAATTTAAAATACTCAAATCACAGAGCAAAAATTCATCACTGGTCTGCGTTACACGCATTTACGCTATATTGTTTGCATTTTTAACAATAGCGAAAGCATATAGATTTACTGTGTACAAATGAGTATTATTGCAGTCATTATTGTGATAATGAAGTGAGGACCCGGAAGCTATGCACGAGTCCGTTGCGGCAGAGGCGATTAAGGCTGTTGTTTCTATATTCTATATAACAAAATTTTTTTAAACCTCACGAAGTGAAACCTCCACTTCTCATGAAAGCGAGGAGACGAGGACCATCGTTAGTGAGGGCTGGTACTCACAATTAACTGCCGAACAGTTATTCACTAAAGAAAACGCTGAATCCTAAATGAAACGATAAAATTAATGCAGGCCATAGCGTCAGCCTGAACAATACCTACGACTCGGTAAACAACAGGATGAGATTGATAAATGGACACAGGTGTGATGAAGATGTTCGTGGCCAGCCATTCATCATGCAACAACGCCATAAGTAAACGCACTTGTCGTCATCTACATGAAGGCCATGGAGAAACTCAAGACGAATGTGAGTGGAAGACGTGAGACGCGAAGATAAACCGAAATTGTTGCTCAATGAAACATCGGTAGTCAAGGGTTTGTTGGGAAGGCATTCAAACAAAAAGTGAGCTCAGATCGGATCGACGACGTTGGGTCCATAATCGAAAAAAACCTGCACCAATTTTACTGAGATGTTATATAATATCAATTTTATAACCTATCTATTTTTAGAAAACGATAAAAGAAAAACAATAAAACTGTCCAAGCTTACAGGTCGACCCAACAAGCTGAAGATGAAGTGATCGAGCAATTTTATGACGAATGAAGAAGAAAACTACCTCCATGACCGTCAAGCGAAACATCAACGCCGTCGTCGGAAGAAGAGTTAAGGATACGGAGGTGTTTATTGCCAATCACGGAAAAGGGGATAGAAATGGACGTGGATATCGCTTGACGACTTGACAACTGAAAGCAACAACCCCCACGTCATGAACAACGATTTCCAGCAAGACCCCAAAGCGACACTGGACCGAGGCATTTTTCGCGCATGGAATCGAAAAACATTCCGCCATTCTGAAGCATGCTCTTGAAAAGCTGTTCCGTATTGGTAGGACGGAGCTAAAGATCTTAGATTGTGGGGACACAACAATACTGTCGGTCTCATGATACGGGAATCTACCGTAATTAAGGCGTTTAGAGCATCCGTGTAAATGACGAATGAGAAACTTCAAACATCTCTTACCATCGTCAATTATTCACTTTCTACAATTTCACGTCTACTGTCTTATTTTTCTTCTCTTTTCGATTATTTCTGTCTTTGTTCATCGTTTTCTTTCGTTTAATTAATTACCTGCTAATTTTTATTATCTGTGACTACTATATCTTGTCTGTACAACATGAATTTTGGACTGAAAAAGAAACGCCGTTGTGGGTTCCGAAAACTTAACTTATCCAGCATATTTCTTCCAAACTTCCCATCGTCTCCTTTATCTAGTACTGTTAATGGCCCGTTGCTGACACGTCTTTCGTATCCGTATTAACAGTCTATGCACTTAAATTTATTAACATACGAATTCGGTTACTAATTAGTTGTTAAGTGATTAAATAATTAAATTACGTCAATGTTGGTGAGTGACTACCTATTAATTAGTAAGAGCTGTGGACGAACGTCGGTCGTCAACGAAAATAAAGAAGAACAATTTGATGTGATTGTGCAAGGCCTCTCACCCTCCGGAATCACGTTCCGAGCACAAATTCGACAACAGACCGAATCAGTAAACTGTGATTTCTGCGCTGTACAATGTCAAGATAACATGGGCCGGTGACGGGGCTCGCCTGAGGACAACCAGTGGAAGTCAAGACTTGCAAAATGGGCTGGAGTACAAACGTTGAGTCGGTCATCCAAGAACACGCCGGGACGATCCAATGGTCAAATCACTTGACCAGCGGCGGAGGCAGCAAGTGCAGAACGAATGATACTGGAGGAGGATGACTTTTGGTTACGGTGCACCCATAACGAGGACAAGTCGGATAACTGATAAAGCAAAATTTTGCTACTTCCAATCTGAGTAATAGAAAAAATTTTTTATATCTATTAAAACAACTACATATAGTTAAATTTGTTAGTTATAAAAATTCAGTTATGAAATTGTCAAGTGATTAAGCAATTAAGTCAATTGTTGTCTGTCGCTAATAATGTTTAGTAAAATTGGTAAGATTCTGATGAAAGAATGAACGGCAGCAACGCACCATAGAAAATCCTTGCAGTGACTGCAGAACGTTGGCTGTTTGAAGAAGCGCGCGATGAACTTGTGGCCGCGGACCTCGTGCACGTTCTTCTGCCTGAGAGCACCTCTTCGTAACAAACCACCGCCGATCTTCCGCCCCAACGAGTTTTCGCTAGTCGAGTTTTCACTGTCGTTGTTGTCGGTGGTGGTGGTCGCCGCGACGTCGACAGACATCGGTGCATCTTCGGTCGCCTGATACTCAGACCTTTTACTCATCTTGCTACTGAAATAATTACCGTAAGACTATATACAAATAAAATACACGATAGAAACGTACAAATGACACATTAAATGTAAAACTATAACACTTGAAGGCGAGAGAGAAGAATTTCCTTACTTTTAATAACTATAAACGATGAAAAGTTTTTATACAACGAAGTGCATAAAGTATGCTACTAGCCGGTTTCAGTGTTGGTGTCATGAAAGCCTAAATCCACCGATATGACAGCTTAAAGATCACGCGTGAGACCGCATATTTTACTGTTTACCTGAGTAACAAAGTCAAAGTGTGAATTTCACTAACTTTGCAAAAACAATCGATCATCGCTGAACCAGCGAGACGTTAGATTGGGTTCCACGAGGGAGTAAACTGTACATAGGAATATTTCCAAATTGATGGAAGGATGAAATAAAGAAGTTCACTTGATGAAAAAGGATGAAAATCGCATAAAACAAAAATCTATGACAATGTCTTGGAAAGGCGTTCTTACAGCAGTTGATCGACAAAGGCTGGTGATGATGACTATATTAACTAAATTTTACTTTATTATTAGAAAAGCTGCGATATTTGGTTCACCATTTTGGCACATGTTATTAAATCAGGATTATTCATTCCAGAAACCTGTACATTAACTATTCCTGCATTACTGCTCCCAGTTTACTTACAGGCAAAATGACTGTTTGGATTTAATCCTGACGCATGACGTTGCTGCCACACAGAGTGGTCAAAAATGAAGAGTACTGTAGCCGGCTGAGTCTATTCGCTTCCACAATGCACCCTCCGTATCAATAATGCCTTGGAGATGGTTAAACGGTAGACGAAACGATAACGTGTGGTGCAAACGACGTTCCAATACGATAGCCATTGATACAAACGCCGTTTCTTATGATCTCCTCTACATTCATCTGGTTGGTAGTTTGTATAATGAAGAGCAAAAGGGAACGACTACAGTCTACGAATGACTTCGCGATGCAAGCACTATGACGAAAGCAAAACCTGTCATCCGCGATAAATTACGTTAAATGAACGGCCATCAAACGTGTACATGGAGGACGACGATCGTTATTTCAAAACAAGCTCCGCACGACTATCCAGCAACTTAAAACTAACAAGTCGATAAACGGTGACTCGTTCAAAA